CTCCATCGCAGGAAGTTATTGTGATTGTTGATGTTGTAGGAGCATAAATCGTAGTGTATTCCGTAGATTCTGATGCTGAAGTAACAGACGTATCCATTATACTTGAACTTGATTCGAATTCCAGTGAAACACGTGGTATTGTCAGCGATGAGACCTCTTCAGGAATAGTTGAGCTCATGGATAAACTTATAATTTCAGAAGTAACTGAACTTGACGTAGATTCAGCACAAGTGTGACAAGAAGTAGGAGTGTCACATTCGTCCTCGTCTTCGTTATCCGAATCTTCATTTTCGCAATCGTCCGAAGTTGGTTGAGGACTATCTGTATCAATTGGAACCGTCGAAGTTGTTACTTGACCAGCTGAATCGGTTTTTTCTATAACCTGGTGCTCTGTCGATAATGGACAATATGTGGTGAAAACTGTCGATACTCCCAGCGTAATTGTTGTCATAACTGTAATTCCTGTTTCATGACTCATGGTATCGCAAGAGTTTTCAGAACACGAAGTAATAACCACCGTACTAGTCTCCGGGGCATAACAGGTAGTATAATATGTTGAAGTACCACCATAACCACCTCCATCACCTCCACTTTCCTCGACATCAGCACTCAGCGTGAGGTTATGCTTGGACGATGCACCAGTTGCGGATGCTAAGCAAATTAAAACGATTGTATAGATAAACTTCATTTGAGTGTAAATTGTTACTTTTCTTCATCAATTTTTTCAAAGAGTGGATAATTGTACCATATAAATACGTTTCATCAATCTGCTCGACTGGCTACACTTGCACACATTAATCGAATAATTCCCTTTTTGGATATGTTACTTCTTTCAATCTATTTTCAAACACCCCGGTTGGTTTCTTAATATGTACATTACAATGTGAGCTATTTTTGGCTGACCCTTGTAGAAAACTTACCTCTATGGTAAAAACAATTTTGAAACAAGCGACGATTTTGCAGCAATCGCACTGTTCCAGCCATCAAATTAAAGTTCTAATCTGCATCAAAAAAGTCAATTTCGCGTTTCAACACAATTCAAAAATTAACCTCTTCTAGATTCTTAAAAGGATTCAGGGTTAACAAGCAAGATACGGTTCATGAGCCGTTTCGAGATAGAAAAATATCTTCGACAATGATATATTCATGTGTCTAGATTCAAGACTGTTCATGTGAGAAGTTTACAATTTCAGAAAGAAGATTATGGGTAACAGTGTAATCAAATAATAGTGGGTGCAATAGATGAACTACGCAAGGGTATATGCTACAATAGCTCGAATATAATTACAAATATGTATATGAGAGGAGAGAACATACTTCCAATCATTTAATAAAATAAGGAATGGATATCATTATTGAAACAGATGTAATGAATAAAGCACGTATGAATATTGGTGTATTCGAAATCCAGTGATTGACTGTAATGGTTGATAATCTAGATAACAGATAATAGAACAGCAAGAATGGATGACAAAATAGCAACTGATGATGGGTCTCCGCGAAGTGCAGCTGCTTCGAAAGTTTCGATAGCTTGAGGACGTGCGATAGCGGATGAAGTTGTATGAGGAGGAGCGGAAGTGACTAATGTAGTTGGCTCGTTTGGAGCACTATTGGTATCGGTCGGTTTTTGGTGGGCTGTTTTAATTGTCTTGGTAGCTTCTGGAGACGACTCTGTTGGTACTTCAGTTGGCTTCTCAGTTGGCTTAGGTGGATGTAGTGAAGTTGAAGATGGTTGGCTATTGGTTGGAGATGTTTCTTCGCAAGAAGAAGTTGGAGACGGTGTTTCTTCACAGGAGGAAGATGGTGGTGTTTCCTCACAGGAGGAAGATGGTGGTGTTTCGTCGCAAGAAGAAGTTGGAGGTGGCTCTTTGCAAGATGATGTTGGAGGTGGCACTTCACAGGAGGAAGATGGAGGTGGTGTTTCCTCGCAAGAAGAAGTTGGAGGTGGTTCTTCACAGGAGGAAGATGGAGGTGGTGTTTCCTCACAAGAAGAAGATGGTGGTGGTGTTTCTTCACAAGAAGAAGTTGGAGGCAGTTCTTCACAAGATGAAGTGGGAGGTGGTTCTTCACAGGAGGATGATGGAGGTGGTGTTTCCTCACAGGAGGAAGATGGTGGTGGCTCTTTGCAAGATGATGTTGGAGGTGGTTC